GTCTTAAATTTAATTTAAAGTGGCATTAAAGGTCTTAAAATGTCTTAAATTTAATTTAAAGTGGCATTAAAGAGGTCTTAAAAAGTCTTAAATTTAATGTAAAGTGGCATTAAAGACGTCTTAAGTCTTAAATTTAATTTAAAGTGGCATTAAAGAGGTCTTAAAAAGTCTTAAATATAACTTGCCTTAAGCTGTAAGAACCCTGTAAAAGAAACTGAGTAAAATTGGTTTTTTTCCCATTTGTTTATTGTGATGTTGGTCTTAAATTTCATTTTAAGTGAGGTCTTAAGTCTTAAATTTAATTTCAAGTGGCATTAAAGGTCTTTAAAAGTCTTAAATTTAATTTCAAGTGGCATTAAAGAGGTCTTAAAAAGTCTTAAATTTAATTTCAAGTGACATTAAAGGTCTTAAAAAGTCTTAAATTTAATTTAACGTGACATTAAAGGTCTTAAAAAGTCTTAAATTTAATGTCAAGTGACATTAAAAGTCTTAAAAAGTCTTAAATTTAATTTAACATGACATTAAAGGTCTTAAAAAGTCTTAAATTTAATGTCAAGTGGCATTAAAGGTCTTAAAAAGTCTTAAATTTAATTTAAAGAGACATTAAAGGTCTTAAAAAGTCTTAAATTTAATTTCAAGTGGCATTAAAGGTCTTAAAAAGTCTTAAATTTAATGTCAAGTGGCATTAAAGGTCTTAAAAAGTCTTAAATTTAATTTGCCTTAAGCTGTAGGAACCCTGGATCATCAAAGGTAACTTCAATAATTCAAAATGTGTTTTTAATGATCTGGTTTATTAAAAGGGGAAACAATAATCCAAACTGATGACGGGGATGGACTCTCAGATGCTCTCAGACGTCACATCTTCAGCTCGTTTGGAACTTGGACCAAGTGGGTCTTAAAAAAACCAAGCATCAGGTCAGTTCAGTGATGATTTTGTAATTTTAATATCAGAAAACAGTTTCTGCATTTTTTAATCTGATGAAAACAAACCAAGTGAAACGAGAATAAAGATGCTGAAAACATGAAGTGGAGCTGCAGCGCCTCTGCTGCCCTACTTCCTCCTCTGAAAGCGTCTGACTTGATGCTCCGATCTGCATCTCAGAGCTGAGCTGCTGTTTGTCCTCTGATCGTCGCTGCAGCAGGAGGCTTTGATGTCTGAGATGAAGATTATTTAATCTAAAGGAAACGGGYCACATCTCAAATGTCTGTTCATCTGGAAACATCTTCTGCACCTTCGTTTGAGTTTATCTCTGATTTAAACGTTGGTTTCATGGCTTCACATGAAGCTGTGTGTCCTCTGGTCTCGTGCTGTCTGCGACCGTCTGTTGGGGGATTAAAGCAGATTAACATAATCTTGACCAAGAGTAAATCCAAGGTGCGCATCACTCTCTCTCTCTGTCTCTCTGGAGTGGCATCAGAGCTGAACTGAACTCATGATTTATTCATTTTTATCATGATTAACCTTTGTTTTTAAAGAGATCTGTGAAAAAAAAGACGAGTTCTTCTGTAATCTGAGTGTAATCTGAGTGTAATCTGAGCTTCTGTCTGTGACGTCGACCCGCCCACAGGGATTACACTTTAAAGACATTCCTCAGATAATCTAACAGCAAGCAGAAAACGAGCAGCCATGCTTGGTGTGAATAAAAATGTGATAAATTTAAAATAATAAATATAAAATAAGTCTTTTATTAAAACAAATAAAACTATTGTAT